AAAAAAAAAAAAAAAAAAAAAAAAGGATTAAAACTGCAGAAAGCAGTTGCAGCACAACTAAAATTCCTTTCAAAATGAGGTCACATACCATTTTTGCATGTTCGTGTTTTTGCTTGTTTTTTAACCTCTAGGTTAACCTCTCTGCTCATATATTTGATCTTTCCTTTCCTCTCAGGTGGGAGTGGGCAGGCTCCACCCTGGATTATGCCTGCTGTTGGATCCACCTGTTTTTCTGCTCTTTAGCTGATGCACCTGTTTTTCATCTAATCATAACTCAACAGCACTTAAAGACCATCTCAAACAACTATTCTCTGCCAGTTTGTTGTCTATGGTTGCACTAATCAGGCTCTCTAATGCGCTTGTCTGTGTTATTTTGCAAGCTGCCTGTGCCAACATCATCTCTTTCGGTTTCAAGTAGTTTCATCCTATCAGCCAAAGAGCTTTCCCTCTGCATCAGACTCATCTGCCTTTTTTGTTCTTGCAAAAAAGGAATTGTGGGTTACTCACATACCTGTCCACTCTACACTGACCCCTGTCTTCTGGATCCTAAGAAAGTATTCATCTATCCATACATGGAATGGCCTTCTGGATCCTGTGTTTGAATGTGCATTGCATTTAAGATGTTCCCTAAGCCAACACTACCACCATTGTAGTTTGTTTAAAAAGGCACAATTAAAAACTGGGAAGGTTAGTAACATCATTCCAGTTCTTCCTCACGTTCCCAGGAATTACTGTGCCAAATTCCATGGCAATCCTTCAATTACCAAAACAATAAACTGGGATAAAAAATATCAAATCCATGGAGGTACCTAAAGGTTCATTTAAATTTGCATGCCTGCCTAGTTGATGCTGAAATATTTTATGAAAAAAGAAAAAAGCCTTGCTGACTTCTCTGAAAGTCAAAAAATCAACAGTGTCATTAAGCTCCGGGAAATATATATAGTAAGCAGGTAAAAAAGAAACCCAAAAAAACCTTGCTTCAGTGTCCATATATATATATATATATGAACCTAACTGTATTTTAATATAACCCAGCTTGATAGCCTTGTGACCTTGTGCTTGCTCAGCAGTGGAAAACCTATTTGAAAGCAGCCTGCTAGGCTATGCATATTTGTTTCAGGCAGATGGCTAGCCCTTTTTTCCCTCTTGCTTTTTTCTTTCAACTTGTTTGGTGGAGAATGTTATAACCTCTTGTTCACGTTGCTTCCTGGGACTCTTGCCCAAAATGTTTGGTTTCATTCGTGTAGCCCTCCACTGGAACTGAAAACATGTACAACCAAAACTAATGTCTTCAGCTTCGCTTTTCAAACAGACTGGCTCGGCCAGCCGACAAAATGTACTGAGAGACGTCCAGTTGCTCCTTATATGTTCTAGTTTCTGGGGCAGTCTACAATTTTCAGACAGGCCGAGCCTTAGAGCTGCCTCTTTGTAGCTGGAACCATATTATTACAACTGATGCATTTGCTACCAGTGTGTACCAAGATGACATTGTATAATTATTCTATAATAAGTCTCTACTCTATGCATGGTTCAGCCCAACGCAGCTATAAAAACAAAAATGTCTTGAAAATGTGCCCCTGTGGCTTTGTTTTTCTATCAAAAGCAGCTTTTAATCAGAGTACTTTCAAGTTTCAAACTCAAATTATTCTTTCTGCTTTCCAGAAACAGATAGGATTGGAAAGACGCCGCTCTGAGTAGATATTCAGCCAGTCAGTTCTAGTCTAAGAATTAAAGCTATTTCAAATACACAGTGTGTTCATTTTAGATGTTTTTGAAGAAATGTACATTTCAGTAACTGCAAAATACACTGCAAAAAAATTAACATCACTTTTATTAGAGATGTTTGGAATATTAGAGACACAGATCAAACCATCTCTGTAATGTTGGAAAAATCGGTGAACCAACACTTGCAGTGAGCACTGGAGGGAAATCTCTAACATACACTAAAGATGGAAAATGTTATTTCCACATAACTGGTTTGCAGATAATGTAGACCACAAAAACAGTCATATGAGATGCGCTTTTTAAATGATGCAAAATGGTGTGGTACCAGTTATGGTAACACAAAGTTTGTCAACACCTTCACTAATAAAGTATAAAACTTTAGACCCACACACTGAAGGATCAGGACACGTGATTTGCAAAGGCTCCTGCACTGCTGGAAAATAGCTCCTTTTTCCTGGGCTTTCAGCCTGAAGAAAATACCCAGAGTGAGGAAACCAAGGCGTGGGCCAAAGTTCTCTCCATGACACACTGCAATAAAATGACCATTAGCAGTTTGATATGGCATACATTTTCTCCAAATTCAACTCAAACATTTCTGCATTCCACATGCTGCTCTATGTGCATCGCAGTGTGTGCTGACATGCCATTGTGATTTTATGTATAATTTTAGCCTAAATCAGAGCAGCACGGCTGCCTCTCTGTTGGTCTTCCTTGGTCTCTTGTGTTCTGGGGGCCTCTGGATGTCTGGAGTTTTGATCTCCTCCATACCTGCTTCATGCCCTGGAGGACGGGGCAGTGGCCCCCCACACCCTCCAGCAGATCATTACATGAAGGAACCTTTTAAAAAAAACAAGCGCGTCCATGCTCACAGGTGTACACACGGGTGATCACACACACAAACTACACCCTTTTTGGCTCCTACCTCAAAGCACACTGTGCTGTCGATCTTACGTGCTGCACAATAATGTTTAATATTTAGTATTTACTGTCATATTCCCATATATCATTGTGATTTTGTTTATTCTATTACTCTCGTTTTCTTCTGCTTGTTTTCTTTTTTCTTTCTCAACAGGTGATCCAGGTGATCGATATATGTATTTTTTTTTCTGCTTATTCTGTTGGTTTTTGTTTTTTGCCCTTCTCCCCCGTCCCTCTTCTCAACTGTATTTCTTTCCCTCTTTATTTCTCCCTTTTCTTTCCCCCAGTCAAGTCTGTCCCGTATTCAGCAAGTGAAAATAAAATAAATAATAAAAGGTGAATCAAATGGACCATTATGGCAAAGCTGGGATGGTCAATTTGGTAAAGAAAATCCATTGGGCATCTTTTTTCGCCTTTAGACAATAATTCGGATGGCAAAAGAGCCAAACAGGACAGGCAAAAAATAAATAAATAAATAAATACATAAATCAGAGCACTTTATTTTTATTGTTACCTCTACAGAATCACATTAAGTTGCATGTCAAATACAGATTGTTAGATGTAATTTCACAATTTTGTTAACTAATCACAAAAATATTTGCAGCCACTAGGTTGATGGAACTTACAAGGTAATTTGGGTCAATAAAAAATTAGATAAGATGTAAGACATCATATAG